GGGGTTTCACCATGTTGACCAGGATGGTCTCGATCTCTTGACCTCGTGATCCACCCACCTCGGCCTCCCACAGTGCTGGGATTACAGGCTTGAGCCACCGCGCCCGGCCGATTTGAACTCTTTCTTTCCACAGTGTGTAATGATGTCTATATACATTACAGAATGGAGTAATCCTTTTTTTTTTAGTCTCACCCTCTTGCTCAGGCTGGAGTGCAGTGATATGATCTCGGCCCACTGAGACATCCACCTCCCAGGTTAAAGCAATTCTCCTGCCTCAGGTTCCCAAGTAGGTGGGATTACAGGCCCCCAGCACCATGCTCGGCTATTTTTTGTATTTTTAGTAGAGATGAGGGTTTCACCATGCTGATCAGGCTGGTCTTGAAGTCCTGACCTCAAGCAATCGACCTGCCTCAGCCTCCCAAAGTGCAGGTGTGAGCCACTGGTTCTGGCCCGGAATGGAGTAATCTGATGTGGTCTTACAGGTAAACACTTCACATTTGCAACATTGTGTGCAAGGATGTGTGTGTGTGTGTGTGTGTGTGTGTGTGTGTGTGTGTCCGCGCGCACATGGGTGCGCGTCTTAGCTTATCTTTTCCATTATTCTCTTCCCCTCTCCTCCTTTCCCATCCGATACCCTCAGGCTACAGTCTGACTTCACAGACCTCAAAATAAATAATCCAAGCATTTTGGGAGTCGGAGGAGGGCAGATCACCTGCAGGAGTTGAGACCAGCCTGGCCAACATGGCGAAGCCCCGTCTCTACTAAAAATACAAAAATTAGCCGGGTGTGGGGTGGGCACCTGTAATCCCAACTAATCCAGAGGCTTGAGAATCGCCTGAACCCAGTGGCAGAGGTTGCAGTGAGCGGAGATCGCGCCATTGCACTCCAGTCTGAGCTGCAGTGTGAGACTCCGTCTCTAACTAAATGAATAAAACAAACCTACATTCTTTACTCTGGCCCACTAGAATTTGTACTGACAGGAGGGCAGCTCCATGCTAGGTCCAAGCTGGGTGCCATGCTGATTTGACGCTGCTCAGGACACTGGCCTAAAAGTTTGTCTGCAAGCACTCACTCTTCATTCATTTCAGCTTTGTCTGGTACACTTTGGAAACCATTTCCCACCCAACAGATAACTGAGACAGTGGATGGAACAGAGGTTGAATTAAAGAATAAACTTGGGTTGGTAGACAAATAAGTTTATGAACTGCAGAAATAAATAGATCGAGCACTAGATATGTTTATTATCTCTGACAAGCACGTCACTGCCTCCTGGTGTGGATTATATTTCAGTTTTCAAAGGAATCATAGAAGGTACAAGCAACATAATTTGATTTTGGAGGAATTTCTAGCATCCTAGGTCAAAGATGTTAGTAAATATCAACTCTGAAAAAGCAACTATAAATACTGCAGATCGACAAAGGCAGAGGATGCGAATATCTTCTGCGTGGTTGTGTGCTGGCCTGTGGTTGAGACTTCGTGTGTGTTATGGGCGCATGGGGGCAGCTGGTCGCTCATAATTAAGATCACTGTTACTGCTGCTTGCGTTCCGAAGAGAACACAAGAGGACAGAGCTAAGGTGCAGAAATGCGGAAAAACTTGCAGAAACTAGAGCTGGTCTTTGAATTGAAATGAATTACCAATAAAGGGTTGGGAAATGGATGTAGGGGAGGGAAGCATTTTGATGGCCCCTGCGCTGAGGTTCAGCCCATTTGCAGTTGCTGATAACCTTGTCAGGTCACCAGATAAAGGCAAGTCTTGTCGCCCTCAGGCACCTGGCTGTGAGGTAATAAAACGGTTGCCTTATCATCTAAAGGTGGAGTTAGTCAAACCTCAGCCCAGGGTAATTATAGTAAACTGAAATTGCCTGTCCTTTACAAAAAAAAGGCGGGGAGGGAGAGAGAAAGGAAGAGGGCTTAAGGCAGGAAATTGTATTTG